AGGTAACGCGGCAGATATGATTGTTGATCTCAGGAGACATCGAGAGAAATACCATAGGAAGGTCTGTTGTTGTTTATGGTTCTATTGTCTCTCAGTCTGTCTGTCTGTCTGTCTGTCTCCGACTGTCCGTCTTACCCTTTATCTGGTAATTTAGTGTTAACAACTGAATTGAAAACGTAAATTGGCCACTGTAAAGGGTAAAAACCTGTACCCTTTATCTATCTGTCTGTTTCTGTCTATCTGTTTCCTTGACTGTGTCCATGTATGTCTTACTGTCTGTTTCTCTGTCTTTCGTTTTTGCATATGTTTCAAACATGTGTCCCGTTTTTTAATCTGTCAGTCAGTGCATCCATCTGATCTCTGACTGTCCTATTTCTACGCGTGTCCTTTCTACGAGCGGCTAGCCTACCTTCCTTATTGTCTGTTCTTGTTTTTCTCTCTTTCTCTCTTAGACTATGTTCTTTGTGAGTGCCTAACTTCTCTATCTCTCTGTCTTTCATGATCTGTTTATTTTTCTTTCTTTCTCCGCCTTTTTGTCCGTCTCCCCCTGTTTGATTGTCCGTTTTTTTATGTCATTTCGTGTGTTACTCTTGTGGATTTCCTTAATTAATCTAGAGATATAACTAAAGATGACATCCCTGTCTATTCCTCAACTTAGATTTAATGACCAACAAAAGCAGGCGTCTCACTGAGTCTTGACCCTCATTACTAAAATACAACGTTAGCATTTCATCTCTCTGGTACATACTGAGAGAAATTTAGCAGACCTTTTATCCCTTTATTCACTGCAAATTATTTCTTATTAAATGCGATTATACCTTTTTATCTTAAGTTGGATGGAATGAAGGAGTATATCGCGGCTAATCAACTACCGATGGATCTTCAGCGGCGAGTCATTCAGTGGTTTGATTTTGCGTGGAGAAACAAGAAAGATATGAGTGAGGAGGAGCTCTTTCAACAACTAAACGACAATATTCGCGCAGAAATTGCCATTCACGTCAACTTGGACACACTGAAGAAAGTGAAGATGTTTGAACACTGCGATCCAGGCTTTTTGCGCGAGCTCGTTTTAAAGTTGAAGCCCATGTTATGTTCCCCAGGTAACGCTCCCCCGTATCATGCAAAGTAGAAATAAGACATTTTTAACTATTAGGAATTCAGATTATGGATATGTGATTGGGTTCAAGGGCGGGAAAATTTCGCGTGCACGCGAAAGAATCCGCACGATTAGATTAAGTCTGCTCTATGATTGGTTTAAAAAGTGAAAGGTGTTCTGCGCAAAATTGAAGACCGTGCACTTCACATTTAAACCAAAAAGATGCGTTTTCGAATTTGGATTCTAGCCTTCGGTTGATATGTGTTGTCTTTCGTTTCTGTTTATGATTTTGTTTTTTTAATCAATTCTAGGAGATTATGTTTGTCGTCAAGATGAAATAGGGCGTGAAATGTACATTGTCAATCAAGGCGAGTTAGCAGTTGTTGACAAGAGGGGAGCACCACTAGCGAAACTTTCCGCCGGTCGACATTTTGGAGAAATAAGTATTCTTGACATAAAAGGGATTGGAAATCGTCGGACTGCTTCCGTTCGTTCGGTAGGATTCTCTGATCTTTTCCGACTATCGAAGGCTGATCTAGAGGAGGTCCTCGCGTTCTACCCAGAGGAGAAAGAACAACTGGCGAAAATCGCTCGGCAGACGTACGAGAAACAGCGGAGAGAGAGAATGAATCAAAAAGTAGAAAATGACGACTTGGACAAGGATCAGTTAAGTAAGTTGAGAGAAAAATCTCTAGAGCCTCTAGGCATTGTTTCAAACCAACCTCATTTTGCCTTTTTGTTGAAGGAAAACTGATTCTCTTATGACCGTGTCAAACGTTTAAATACACAACATCCTCGCCATGTTAGAGCGCTCTGCAACCTGTGGCCAAGTAATTGACGTAAATCCGATATTTTTACGCAAAGTTTCGGAGTTATATAATCATTTGATATGATCAAAACGAGGAATGTAAACCGATGCTTGCAGGTTCATCCAGCATTTACTCGTTCTCAGAGCTACGTCGTCATGATTTGGCTTTGAAAAAAATGAAGTTAAATGTCTTACTAAGCAGACTGACTACACAAATGTAACTGAAATACATGTTTTTTGCTGATTTGACTTTCTGAAAGATGTTGAGCGCATCGAATGTTTTCTGTGTTAAGGTTTTCCTGGTTTGCCTTAGCTTGTAGTAAGCTTTCCAATTGGTGACTAGTCAGATCATATGATGAGAAATTCCGGACTGTTGAACATGAAAGCTGTAGTCCACGGTTTTCTGGCGCGGAAACAAGTTCAATCACCAGAAAAGACTGGAAAGTGAATGACGCCTGCAGTGTGTTGCAGCCGAGCGTTTCATTACTTTCTAGATTCCGATTCAGATGACAAAATTGCCTTTGTCTTTCTTTTTATTTCCCTGCAGCTGAAGACTCCCGCCTTCAGGGGCATGACCCTCGTAAATGGCTTGTGGCCGACAAGGAAACTCTTAAGCGTCGCCTGTCACTCATTGAGGCCAAAAACGAAGTTAAAGCTCTAGCCAGCAGATTCCGAAGAGAAAATGGTAACTCTACGAATCCTCGAGAGATTGTGGCTGCCATCGCAGAACGAGGGAGACAAGAAAGACCAGATGAAGATGCCAGAAAAATAATCAAAGAATTTTTGGCAAAGGACAGAGGAAGCAAAATCCACAAGCGAAGCACTATGTCGCACGAAAGTCTCTTGGCACATAGAAGCAACTATGTCGACAATGCGCGTGAAAATTGCTTCAAGGACGCCTCATATGGAGAAAATTGTGCAAACGATCAAACGAGAAAAAGTCAAAGAAGGTTTTTTAGCCGACCCCATTCCCGCACAATGGAATCGAAACCCTCCTCCCCAACAGGTAAAGACATTCCATTGCTAGCGTTCAAAGAGAACGATAACGTCTCGGATCAAAAGAGAGGATCGCAAATTAAAGATCTATCACCAAATCCTGTTGCATTCACACTTAACAGCACTAAAGAAAAAGGTATCAGGCCTCCTTTTCCTAAAAAAGGAATATTAAAGAGGACCAGCGGGGATTCATCAAGCTGGCAAGGCAGCGACTCAATGGAAACCTCGTTCTCTGCGCTCGAGAACGCTAAGAGCGATGAGGACAATCCAACCTGTTCCGAGCAAAGTAAAGAAGAATCTGCTAAGAATCCGAAACAAAAAAGCAAGTTCAAAGTGCCATTCCTGAAGGAACAAAAAAAAGATGACGTAAAAATACTCTTAGCCACTCCAGAGAATAGCGAAATAGTGGAGGACTCGCCCAAGTTGGAACGTGCTGCCAACCGAATGAACTCTACGGGAAAGAACCCATTCACAGAATTAAAAGTGAACAGTGAGTTAGATTTCATCGCTCCGGACAAACGTTGTACATGTCAGCAAGAGGCAGGACACAAAAATGAACGACTACATGCTAATTGTCTGGATTCGGAGTGTCAATCTGTTACCCAAAAAACTGACTCGAGCGCGGGCTGTTTTCCTTCGATGCCAGCGATCTTGGAGCCTGGCAAGGGAGAGTCAATGGTAACAAAATGATTCCAATATTTTGTATACATATCATCATCGTGGTTGATTAGGGACCAGTCAATTTTTACGTATCATCTATTGCGGGGAAGGGTCAGAGGAATTTTGGGGGAATTACATGGATTCCAAGTGGAACGAAGCGGGGAATCAGTCTCGCTAACAATGTATAAACAGGGAACGATATAACATTGACCGCCAATTAATTAACTGCCAGTGAGGGGAGAATCATTGGAATATTACAAAGCCTTATTGGAGGACCAGCTTAATTTTTCCATGACACAGCTAAAATCTCCCGACCCTCTACCCCTCAGGGAATAAGTAATAACAAGAGCCAGTAATGGGCTTCTGGTAATAATCTGTGCTTTGCTAATTAAACATTGGTACGTAAATTAAAAAAAAAACTTAATGTTGTTCGGATCGTTTGAAATTTTGACGTGACTCTAAAATTAAATTATAACTCGTGATTAAGACTGTCTCGTGTGTGTCATTTCATTATAAGAATTAAAGAAGATGATTCACCGCTATTATTTTTTATTTTCAGTGTCGACACAGGTTCCTGCAGATTTTGATCGCAATGTTATGGTTTTATGACAACATTTTGTCAATATAATAAAATGTACCAGTTATTGGTAATGTGATTCTTCCATTATCTTTTAACCGAAGGGAGAGTTAATTTTTTAAAACAGTATTGTTATTATTCTATTGAATAACACCAATTTATTCCGCGCAAATTCTTTCTGTAAATTAAATCTTCTATCATGCGGAGAAAAGATTACATACTCTTAATATTTTTATTAAGCGGTGTCTTTGGCAGACATAAGTTTTGTCTACTCCGTATAGCCGAGAGACAAGATACGAAAATTTCCCCTGAGGGTTTTATATCACTTAGCATGCGCGAGAAAAAAAACTCTTCTCGTTGTGCCAAACTTTTAGGAGTTTGCGCAAGTTGTCCTCTCATAACTTCCCCATTCTTTGTCCAGCTAATGGCCATTATCAAAAGAAAACCACAGGAGCAATGAATTATAGTTATTATTATAATTGTTTGCTTTATATATTTCCACACGCACGAGATTCTTCTACTTTTCTCTTTCCTAAATAATACTATGGGCAGGTGCAGCACCTTGGTTTAAAAATGAAAACAGATGCACGAACTAAACAACTAACCTCCACTGAATAATTTGCGTTGAGCGGAAGTCACATAGAAGATTTTTAATAAACAAAAAAAAGTTGTGGTTATGATACCGAACAAATATCCTTTGTTCGCTTAGCAGATATAGCTATATTATTGTGCAGTTTCACATCAAAATTCTTTACACGTATGGCAGGTAACCCAACTACAATGTCTGACAAAATTTTGCGCTGAAAAATGAGGAGGTTCATTTTCAAGAGCAGCTGTGCCCGCCCACAACATCCATCTATTACTGTCAATTTATTTAATAATATATTTTTGCCTTGTATCTCTGGTCTACAAGTGATTAACTTGAATTTCAAGCTTTACTCATCAAAATTACTTGACGATAAAGTTACAGCTACCCCGTTGCGCACGATGCTATTTCACCGTCTCTCCACCATAACATCAAAACAGAGTTTAATTAAAATAAAATAAATGAAGGTTTGCAACGTTACGAATAATATGTATTACTATCATAGTCAATTGAATATAACTGGGTTCTAAAATCCTGCGGTTTTTAACCAATCGGAGTATTCTTTAACCTATTCGCACGAGAATTCCCTCAGTCTAAAACGCTCAAAAGAGGCTCTTTGTTATGGAAATCGTACCGGTGAAAACGAACATCAGGTTTAGAAATATAATGAAAACCAGAAATGTCTAGTCTTGTCCCTTCAGGGTGTTGCTTGATTAAATGAGCTTTTCGCTTTAATTTCGCTGTCAACATCACCATTATTAGGTTTACTCTTGTGATATTTCAAATGAAAACTTTTCATAAACGTCTTTCACACAACTTAGTTACTGCCACGACAAAGGCAACCGTACACGCGTCCAATCTTGAATAAGAAAAAAAATATTACTGATCGGGTTTGAAGATACAAGAAATGCCCTAAAGTCATAGAGGAAAGAAGAAATTGTAGCTCATTAAAATAAACACCACAATTGGTTCAGAAAACAGGTTTTCTCGCAGCGATGTGAATTTCATTTCAAAACAAACACTTATGTCAGCTTGGCTTCTCCATGTTTTGTCTTTGTTTTGGGAAACACAGGACAGAAGCTTTGTCTCGAAAACAAAACTCAAATTTAGTATACAATCGCTTTTAGCGGTGACATGTAGTGTCTACAGTAATGCCATACATGTCCCTTAATATTGTGCGGTTTTTTTTCCTAATCAAAGCCAAGAACCTATGAAAAATCCTCACTGGAAATTTCAACATTAATCATCGGCTTTGATAAACTGTATGTCACAAGGACGCTTGCATGATATTAAAAATATGATAATCATCTTTGAAATGAAAGCGTAATTTACAGAACATGTCATTTCCGGAAAATGGCCAACTCGATTGCGGTTCTTAAATGCATATTACAATGTGACCTGTCACTTTATTCACCATACAAAATCTCTTTTCAAATTAATATTTTCTTATTCTTGACATAATGATCTTTTTGCATAAAATCATATCGCCTCGGTGTCCTGTTCGTGTGTAGAATCTATTTTTCTCCTTTTAATCTAAATTTTCATTGTCGCTAAGTTAGAAATTACATGAAATATAGAGCGTAAATCATCTCTAAAACGAATTATCAAAGCTATTTCATCGACTTTTTCGTCTCGAAGAAGAAACTTTTCTATCGCGACGCGGTAGAATGTAAGAGGAGTGTTCGATACTCGTGCGAAAATGCGCAGCGAAGCGGAACAGAGGCAGAGCAACTGTTACAGTACCAAGTACAGCGCAGATAGCCCCCATAAACTTTCCCGGTGTTGTGACAGGAACTTTATCGCCATAACCAACTGTACAAATTGTTATTATCGCCCACCAAAATGCATCGGGAATACTCTTAAAGTCACTATCATCCTGCTCGTTCAGTTCTACAAAAAATACCGCACTCGAGCCCAAAATAACAAAGGTTGTGGCGAACGTTACCAAAAGGCCTAGGTCTTTGATGCCTGATACGACAGTAATAACCAGGATTTTCATTCCCTCGCAGTATCGTACTAACTTTAATATTCGAATGACCGCAAAAGTTTCCAGTAAACGGACCACCACGGTGGCCGAGGGCCAAGCCATTTTCACAATGAGTTCCAAATAAAAAACCAAGATCGTAGCAAAATCTGCGCAATTCGGAAGCAATTTGAAATATTCGCTTTTGTTTGGGGACGCGAGTAACCGCACAGCACACTCCAAGGTGAACCAACTGTAGCAAACAAGATCGAATGAAAACCAGTCATCGTCATGTAACTCAGACGGCGTTAAATCTCGGTAAACAGACTTGTTATGGTTCTGAAAGTTTTCTATCACCTTGGTACGCTCTGGTTGAAGCGATTCGACAGTTTTCAGACAAGAACCTACTAAAGATACGATAATAAACACCTGCGAGAGAACTGCCAGAATTTTTGCAGCCAGCGATGAATTGGGAAACTCAAACAATTCCCAGAGTGTCCTCTGCCAAATATTCAGAGGACGCGAGCGGTTGTAATCGCCGAGTATAACCCTTTCCAACTTCTCACAGCTGTTTGGCTCAACGGGGAGCATGAAAAACTTAACTTCTTCATCAAAAACTTCTGATGGCACATTGTCCGGATAAACTAATCTCCCTTCGTTTTGATAGTAAAACAGTATACCCTCGAATGCTTGTCGGTGACGATCGAAGAAATACTCCTCGCGCTGAGAGTCAAAATATTTGCTCCGTTTCTGAGGGCAGCCCAGTAGCGACTGAGGGAAATGCAGCAACTTGCTTTCGCTTACTTCGAAGATCGCTCCGCTTACATTGATTACGACGCGACCAACATTCACCTTAACACCATTGTTTGGCTCCATTATAAAGCTGAGGATTCCCGCCGGCGTGAGACTTGAAAATGCCAAAAAAAAAAGCACGCTCGGATAATATGCGATTTTTTTCTTCCTGCGCAAAACCCCGATGCTTGCTACATCCTGTTTAGGTTGGCCGAGGAATGAGAAATCGCAAGTGATGTGCCGGTAAACACTTCTTGGTCGATTTGACATCAATTTCTCTGCATATTCATAACCGTGAATAGATTCCATAGATCCATGTTCCCTGCACTTGGCATTTTTAGTGCTAATTGCCTCCTTTGTACGGCTAATCACAAAAGGATAATTTCTGTCGCGTTCTACGGCGGTCACGTGAATTCTTAGCAACCAATAGACGCATTCGTATAAATAATGACAGAATATCTCCTTCCGAAAAATTACTTTCTTCGCTTTTCAGACAGGTCTCACACGAAACGCAGATTTTGATTAAGTACTACTTGACGCCTCGTTCTGTTGTTCTAAACTTGTCAAATTTGTAAAAATTATCGCCTTTTATTTGACTTGATCTAAATGATTATATGTTCAAATTTTGATTGCAATGGTTTAATATTCAATCGTAAAATTTTTAACACTGTTGCCCTTTCTCGGATCACAACAATTAAAATTTTAAGTTTTTTTCTACGCAAAAAATCAGTTTAATTTTCTTACAAGCGTGATGCACTGTAAAATTCGCAGAAATCAAATTATTTGATTTTATTTCTTTGCATGCAAATCCGTTCTAAGTTATCATTAGATTTTTTTATATCATTTTATTTTGATGTTCGACGCACAAGCTGTCAAAATAGATGCTCCCCGAAAAGAAAAACCTTTAACGTAAAGACTGCAGGTGTACTTGTAACAACGGACTACTATAATCGAAAAAGCAGGGGCCTGCTGTGTTTGTTCTCATCTCCTGCCGCTGCAAAACACATTTTAATTTCTAAAATGAGTGTTGTTCTCATTAGTCAGGATTCCTGAAAACTACCGTAGCAATATTTTAACCGAAAACGCCGAAGATAGATGTGTCTCAATCGTAGCGGAAATGCCAAAAAGCATGTTCTGAGCACAGAAATGTCCCTTCTAAAGACCATAAATTTGGAGAAGAGTGAAAATGCACCGTCGCTTCTAGAATTCCCTCGGGCTTTTTTACCAAGTCCGTGAGTTTTTCCTAAACCTTTCCCGAACATAGTTCTATTTAACCAGCAGTTGCTGCCGAGAGAACTCGGAGGAAATTGTCGAAACAAAAAAAAGGCGGTGAAACTTCGTGCGGCAAAACAAGCAACTTCCCTTTCCTTAGCACGTTTCTCTTGCGGCTTCGTTATTCAAAACTGCCGGCTAGGAGAGCTAAATTTACATTTAGAGTTCGTCTTCAATTAAGTTTGATATTTTCGGTGATTTTCCGTGCTTCACTCTGCCATGATTTATGGGTTATTTTAGCGAAGACTTGTTGTTTAGATGTTCAGAACCAACCCTTGAAAAAGTCGCCTCTGGGTGGTAAACTGATTGTTTTCACAATTTGTAGTGGCGTTGAAATGGGTAAAACGAAAGGAACACAGCAATTCTGTTGATGACGGTTACAATTATTGACAGAAAGCAGAAAAAGAATAGAAAGGACACTGACGTGGATGGTAAACAAATTTGAAAAGATTAGAGCGCATTGCCTTCGGGTAAGATTGAAAATCTTCGATCAGCTCGCTATTAAAAGTTTACATCAATTCTCATTCTTCTGGGTAGGCACGGAGGACTAACTTTTCAGCAAAATTGGCAGATATAGGCAAAAAACATTTTGAAAGGCGATGCCGGAGGGCTAATTCAGCCAACTTATTTTTGTGCTGAATTTTATGATTTAGCCCACAGTCAAGTGCGGAAAACTATTGACTTGTCTCGTTCACCTATGGACGAACTCAATGTCAAAGCAATTCAAGAAATGACGAGTGTACAGCTAATGTATGATTTATTTTGAGATAACTCGCAATGCAGGTGAACGCATATTTATTTTAAAGAATTCCTATACATTTTTCACTAGCATAAAACACATAGCGTTCGCTAATGTTTGTATTCAATGAGTGTATAAGTTCAGTGTGTTGTTGCTAGTTGATAAAATAAATGTTAAACTTTGGGTAGTGTCATTGTATTATCGCAAAAAGAACCAAGTCATCCGCAAAGAATGGCTTATAATTTTGCTGAATAGCGAAATAACGTCAACACACGTACAGATTTTTGTTTGGCAAGATACCTCGTTAATGTTTTAAACAAGTGACAACAAACAGTTTTCCTCGCCAGGAGTGAAACCAAAAATCTCTCGCAAAAGAACGTTTCTCACCTTCTAATCTAAGGATGGCGAAAGATATCCCCCTTAGAAACGGTCTCCGAGAATTTTTCACAAAATCTCACAGGCCGAAAAATCCTGTTTCAGAGACTTTCAAAATAGACCCACAGTCTCGTTTCTCGACTAAGCTGTTTGGAAAATTTCCTTGAGCCGGTGTTAATCCGTCTATGAGGTGGATTAACACATGATGCGTGTAGAAAAAACATAGGCTTTGAAAGAGACAAACAAATTTCCTCGTTGAAAAGTAAACCTTTGAAGACATCGATAAAAGCCGAGCTAAGAAAACTTCAGAAAGTACAGATAAACATTGCAGCATGCATGTAAGCCAGTCAGCATTATTTCAATGCTAAAACCTTCAAAATACTGGCCCACTTTTCTTATAAAGACTAGAAATAGCTGCATGGATTTACGAGACAATTCACTTCCCCCTCCCTCCATCATCCCTTTAATCCACAACCAGAATAATTACTTTGATATATGATTGGCTCTGATAAACCCCTTCTTTTTGTAAAACTAAAAGCAATCAGACGGAAAAAGACCGGCACGTTTCCTCGTGCTCTTTACAATTCCTAACTGAATAAATTTTAAAAAGCTGTAAGGGATTGCTTATGTTGTTATGCCATGCTTGGTTTTAATTCTGATACACACAGTTTAACACTTTTCAAACGCTGGGTTAACCCTGTATTTTCCAACTTTTGCCTGCAGTTAAAAGGTTTAAAAGACATCGTTTTGATTTGCGAATCTTAAAAGTATTAATCGTTTAAACCCTGATCAGCATCTAATTTCTCCTTACAATAATACAGCTAAACCATTCATTAATATCAAGAGAATAAAGGAAACGATCACCAACCTTGGAAGCTTTGATCTTTAAATGAATTCTCCTTGTCAGCAACAAAAGAAACAAAGAGAGAAGAGTATGGAGAAGATAGATACTGATGTTAGGATGTAAAGGGTTAAATGATGTGTCGTGTGCAATAAGCGATATTTCTACTTTCTTTTTTCTATCATTGCCTTCTTTGTTTATTTACAAAACTAATTTGACATTTTTCTCACAAACCATCGACAGCGATGACATGAAGAATGCTATCAACTCGAACCTTTTCTGCAGACTCAACAGATCCATACATGCAGATCCATACGCGCAAATATCAATACGACTGACGACACTGTGTAGTGTAACGTGAAATTTGATCACAAATCTTCAGTGAAATGATCCTCGCAGGCGGACCGCAATTTTAGCAACTCACCTGAGAAGATCATTTCATCACTTAAACTTGAAATCTATCGAATGAGTTGGTGGGCGAGAAAACGACAGATATGGCGGGCTTAAAAAAAAAAGAAAACTCCCCGTCAAAAATCACATGATTCATTACCAGGCTCCGGCGGACTATAAGAAAACATTTCCCTCCTATTTCTGTCCCGCTGAGCCAATGGAAAAACACACGGCAGATAAAGTCTAAAAAAAAAGCAATGAAGCTCTTATAATGACCAAGTGCTCCCTTGTTTTTCAACGAATAAAAGAGTTTAAGGCTGTATTTAGTGTTTTCTCTTAGACAGCGAGATCTCAGATAAATTATTATTACAGAATCTGAACAATTGCGCACCTACCCTTCCCCTGACCCAACATGTACATTTTAACCCTAAGCTGTTTACAGTGGACTGTTGTTGGGTTAGGGGAGGGGTAGGTGCGCTATCAGTTAACTGTTATCGGGTTAGGGGAGGGGTAGGTGTGCAGTTGCTCAGAAAATAGCATTAGTCTGAGATCTCTGTCAATTGACTACAAAAATTCCCAATGTGGACATTAAAATACTCTATGCTACGTGTTATCATTTACATCGCTAAAATATACAAGAGTCTGCGGGATATAGCTGGTTTAATTTCTCTCGTATTACCCGCTGTTGTTGCTCATCTATTGCAGATGTCTGTCCGTAATGCTCTTGTTCGTTAACAACAGTAAGAGCATCCCAACAACCGTTGCCTCTTTCATGCAGGACACAGTTGGCGTACTCCTCAATATGGGTCTGAAGGTATGAAATTGGAACTTCGCCTTGAGACAATACTTGATAATGAAAATCTTGTATTTTGAACTTTGCTCCGAGTTTCTTTGAAGTTTCATTGCGCATTCTCCAAATTGCCAGCTGACCAGTCATGTAGGCGGTCGCCTGTCCCGGATATGCCTGGTATCGACTAACCTCGTTTGGAACAACGTCGCTGTAATCCCACATATAACGCCGAAAGAGATCTATGGCTTTTTCTCGCGTCATGTTCCTAGAATGGAGGCCGGTATCTATGATGAGGCGAAGTGCGCGCCATATTTGACCCTTGAGAGCACCGTAACGTTCAAGGATACGGTTGTGATATAGATCTGCGAAGAATGAAAAAAAAAACACCTACAATTGAGTTACTTACTTTGGATAGCTGACAACTCAATGATTGCTTACTGACCTGTATCCTGTGCTGCTAGTGGATTCTCGGAGTATAAACCCCAACCCTCTCTAATGGCAATTCCTGTAATATCCTTTAGGAATTGAAAATTGACGCCTTCCCGGCATGCATCTCTGCAACAGCAACGAGTGTCAGTTTTGAGCAAGTTTCATCAAATAGTTTTCGCTACTTCAGCAACCCCCCACCTCTGATTTACAACCCTTTTACTTCCT